GGGGGGTGGGGGGAAGGGACGTGGGAATTGTATACTAATGAAGGAATTTTTTTTTCTCTCTTCCGAGGGGGAAGCGAGCTGGTGGGGAGGGGTGGGCAGGGAGAAAATCGCAGCAATGAATGAATGGAAATCCAAAACCTCTGTTTAAAAAAAAAAGAAAGAAAGAAATGTCTATCTATGTTTCATTGACTATGCAAAGGCTTTTGTGGCTAACCTTGAGGAAAATAGGAATCCTAGCACTTGATTGTGCTAATGCAAAACCTATACCTGGACCAGAAAGCAGTCCTCAGAACAGAGCAGGGAAATACTGGATGGTTCAAAATCAGAAAAGGAAAGGATACCTCCTGTTCTCCATATCTTTTCAATCTATGCAGAACAGTTCATTTGGGAAGCAGGGCTTTATGAGGAGGAATGTGGCATCAGGATTGGAAGTAGACTTATCAACAACCCACTTTATGCAAATGACACAACCTTGCTTGCTGAAACTGAAGAAGACCTGAAGCGCTTGCTGAAGAAGGTCAAGGACTGGAGTCTTCAATATGGACTGAAGCTCAACATCAAGAAGACAAAGATTCTCAGCACTGGGCCAACTGGCAGTACCATGATAGATGGAGAAGAGATTGAGGTTGTTAACAATTACAGCTTGCACATTTCCACAATCAACACTCTTAGCACCAGCAGTCAGGAAATCAAAAGATGAATTGCATTAGGAAAATCTGCTATCAGGGACCTCTCCAGAATACTGAAAGCAACAATGATGTCAGTTTAGAGACTAAGGTGTGCCTGATCCAGGCTATGGTTTTTGCAATTACTTGCTATGCATCAGAGAGCTGGACAATGACTAAGGATGACAAAAGAAGAATCAATGCCTTTGAATTGTGATGTTAGAGAAGAGTCTTGAACATACCATGGACCACCAAGAAAACAAATAGGTCTGTCTTGGAGAGCAAGAAATCAAATTTCTCCTTGGAGGCTAGGATTTTGAAGCTCCGTCTCACTATGTTGGCCACCTGGCCAGGACAGACCATCCTTGGAAGGGTGGAGGGACAACACAGAAGACGAAGACCCCAGATGAGATGGAATGATACAGTGACTGGAGCAATAGGGGTTGGGGTTTCAGAATTAGTGAGACTGGCTTGGGTCAGGGCAGGGTTCAGAGCTGCTGTATATAGGGTTGCTATGGGTCACAGGCGACTCGTTGGCACATAACAACAACTATGGACTATGGATCTCTTCCAGTCAGTTTTCCAGACAGCTGTCCTCAAAATTTCTTGGCACAACCTGATGAGCATATCTAGGAATGCATGTGTTTGTTGAAATATGTCAATTGGCATTCCATAAATTCCTGGGGTCCCCCCCCCATCCTTAAGAGCAGCTTAACTTCCTCCTTTATTATGTTTGGTTCTTGATTATATGCTACTGCCTGAAATGGTTCTCTATCAGCCAATTCATTCTGATAAAGTGACTTTTTGTATTCTTTCGATGCTTCTTTGATCCTTGGATCACTCAATATTTTGCCCATAGCATCTTTAAGTATTAAAACTCTTACAGAGGCTTGAATTTGTTCTTCATTTCCTTTAGCTTAAGAAATGTTGAGTAAGTTCTCTTTTGATGTTTTGACTAGTTCTGTACACATTTCATTATAATACTTTGTCTTCATGAGCTGCCCTTTGTCATCTCTGTTCAACTCAACTTTCTCAATTCTTCCCTTTGTTTTTGGAGAGTCTAGTACAATATTCAGAATGTCTCTTCTGACATTTCTTTTGGTCTTTTCTTCCTCCTCTGTCTTTGTAATGACCTTCTGTTTTCTTCATGGATGATATCTCTCATATTCCACAGCTCATCTGATCTTCATTCATTAATATTCAATGCCTCTAATCTTTTCTTGAGATGGTTTTTAAATTCAGATGAGACAGACTCATTTTGTTCTGGCTTTGCTGTAATTTCCTTTAGCTTCAAGTTGAATTTTTGCATGAGAAATTGATGATCTGCTCCAGTCAGCACGTGGCTTGGCTTCCACAGCTGATACTGATCATCTCCAACAATTTTTTCACAGATATAATCAAGCTGATTCCTGTGTAGTCCATCAAGTGAGGTCCATGTGTATAGGTGCCATTTATGGTTTTTGTTGGTGTTTAGTGTGTGTGTGTATGTGTGTACCATCAAATAAGATCTGACTGGTACAGGAGGAGACTGTCCCCCTTCTCCAGCAGAGCATCTGGTGGACTCGAACTGCGCACCTCTGGGATTTCAGTGTAGCTTCTTGCAACTAGGCCACCAGAGCTCCCCCACTATTTGTTTTTTTATAAAAGGCATGTACAATGAATAAATCCCTATGGCAATAGTATTGCTGACGTCAGTTGGATCTTGGCTAAAAGCAGAGAATACCAGATGGATGCCTATTTGCATTTTATTGACTATGCAAAGGCATCTGATTGCATAGATCATAACAAACTGTGGCTAACATTGAGAAGAATTGGAAGCGCAGAACACTTGATTGTGCTCATGTGAAACTTACACCAAGATGCTGTTGTCTGACAGAGCAAAGGATAACTGCATGGTTCAAAATCAAGACTGGAGTGAAATCAGGATGTACTCTTTCTCCACACCTTTTCAATCCGTATGTTGTACAGATCATCTGAGAAGCTGGACTTTACGAAGAAGAATGTGGCATCAGGATTGGAGGAAGACATCAACAACCGACACTATGCAGATGACTTACTCACCAAAACTGAGGACTGTAATCCTCAATATGGATTGTATTTGAACATCAAGGAAACAAAGATCCTTACCACCAAGCCAATAGGCAGCATTATGATAGATGGAGAAAAGATTAAGGTTGGTAATGTCATCTTGCTTGGATTCACAATCAACAACCTTTACACTGTTGTTATGTGCCTCTGAGTTGCCTCTAACTCATAGTGACCCTATGTACAAAAGCTCTGAACTCTGCTCTATCCTAAGCCAGTCTCATTGTCTCTGACACACCTACCTCCATCACCCCAGTTACTGTGTCAGTCACTATCATCTGGGGTCTTCCTCTTCTGCACTGTCCCTCCACCCTTCTAAGCATGATGTCTTTCTCCAGGGACTGGTCCCTCCTGGTCACATGGCCAAAGGATGTGAGGCAGAGCTTCAAAATCCTTGCCTCCAAGAGGCAGCCTGGTTGCAGTCTTCTGAATGAACCTATTTGTTCTCTTGATAGTCTATGGTACAGTCAATACTCTTCTCCAGCACCACAACTCCAAGGCCTCAAGTATTCTTCTGACATTTTTGATCATTGGCCCATTCTCTAATGCACAGCAATTAATTGCAAAGACTATGGCCAGAATCAGGCAGACCTTAGTCTACAGACTGATATAGCTGCTGTTCAGCACTTTGGAGAGGTCACTGATGGCTGCTTTCCTTTGAGTAATTCACCTTTTGATTTCTTGACTACTGCTGCTAAGAGAAGTGACTGTGGAACCAAGCAAGGTGAAATTGTTAACAATCTCCATCTCTTCTCTATCTATCATGGTGCTATCCATTGGCCCAGTGGGTGAGAACCACTGTCCTCTTGATGTTGCACCTCAAAGTATACTGAAAACTGCAGTCTTTGACCTTGTGCTGCAACGCTTCAGGTCCTCCTCAGCTGCTGTGAACAAGGTTATGTCATTTGTATAATGTTGATTGTTAAGAGTCTTCCTCCAATATGATGCCATATTCTTCATCATAAAGTCCAGCCTCCCAAATTATCTGTTCTGCATAGATTGAAAAGGTGTGGAGATAAGATTCATTTCTGATGCACTCCTTTTCGGATTTTGGACCACGCAGTACTTCCTTGTTCTGTTCTGATAACTGCTTCCTGTTGCAAATATAGGTTCTGCATAAGCACAATCAAGAGTTCTGGGATTCCCATTCTTGTTTCAAGGTTAGCCACACTTTGTTGTGATCCAGTCAAATGCCTTTGCATAGTCAATGAAATACGGACAGACGTTCCTCTGGTACTCTTTGCTTTCAGCCAAGATTCATCTGATATTGGAGATAATGTCTTTGGTACCACAGCGTCTTCTAAACCCAGCCTGTATTTCTTGTCATTTCTGGATAATCTTCAGTAAGATTTTGCTTGCGAGTGATAATAATGATATTGTTTGATAATTTCCACTCTCTCAGGTTGTCCTTCTTTGGAAGGCGGACAAATATGAATCTCTTCCAATCAGCTTGGCAGGTAGCTGCCCTCCAAATTTCTTGGCACAACCTGGTGCGATCATCCAGGGCAGCATCTGTCTGTTGAAATATGTTAATTGGTATTCCATCAATTCCTGGGCCTTTTGCTGTGTTAACTTCTTCAGAGCAGCCTGAACGTCCTTCTGCATAATCACTGCCTTTTGATCATACGTTGTTTCATGAAATTCTTCTATGTCAGCCAATTCTTTTTGACACAGACAGTCCTTGTACTCCTTCCATCTTCTTTTAATGCATCTTGGACATTTAGGTAAGAATATTTGTCTTACGCAGCTTCTAAAACATACTTTTCATTGATTAAATTCAGACTATATGAAATAGTCTAGGAGCTCTGGGAACTTAGTGGCAAGGTATTGCACTGGGATCCAAGGGCAGGTGTTTCAAATCCACCATTTGCTCCAAAGGAGACAGAAATGCCCTCTCATGGGATTTACAGTATGCTAACCTGCTGCACAGTCAGCTGTGAGTCAGTTCTGACTCAACAGCACACAACACATGAACCAGAAAAATAAAGTATGCTCAAACACTCAATGTTCCCTAGGGCTCACCAGACTTCCTCACAAAGGCTGAGCTGACCAGCACCAGCGGCGTGCTCACTTCCTCCAAGGATGAGGCCCCGTGACTGCCCGTCTCAGACATCCCGTGATCCCCACAGAGAACTAGCAAGGTGGGCAAGGTAGCTGCTCTTTCCTGCAAGTCAGAAGAAACATCATGAGTGCTTGCAGCCAGAGGAGGAGCCCCCTTCTGATTCCAACTCCACCCTGAGCTCACTCCAGATACATCCCCCTCTTCTCCACGAGTTTACCAGAGGCTGAAAGCCAAATAGCATCACAGAGGGAACAGAAAGCACCTGCCAGGACATCAGTCAGGCCCTGTAAGCAGAAGCTCGCTCTGACTTCTGCCTCTGCCTGTCTGAGCTGTGGGACCTTGGGTACCACATGCCTGTGTCTACGTTTACTCATCAGTCAAATGGAGAGGCTAGCAGGAGCTACCTCTCAGGAAGGTCCTGAGGATTAGCACAAACCCCATAGGACCGACCCCACGGGGCTCCCATCCAGCTGTACAGCTCTTTGCTACTCCTTAGATATGCCTTTCTGCTAACCACCCTTTCACTGGACACACCCCTCCTCAAACTACCCTCTCACTGGACATCTCTTCTTGCGCCACCCTCATTGGATACCTTCTTCCTCTGACTAATCTCTTACTGAATACAGGCCTCCCTGGGCCATTCTCACTATCCTTTCTGATGACCCCTCCTTAGATATGCCTCTCCCTGGACACATTATTCTATCTTGCCCAACAGGAACTTCTGCTCTGGAGTCGTCTTCACAGCTTTCCTCCTTCAAGCCCTGACAAGCACCACAGGTCCTCTCAAGGAGGCCTTTCCGTGGCACCAACCATTCTCAGAACCCTTCTCACTGTTTCTTTCTTACACACCAGGCTTTCTGTATTGTCTATCCTGGATAGGTCAGCTCATGTAGGCAGGGAGCCAGTTTCACAGAAGTGACCTGAGTGCTCGCCCAGGACAGCTATAGTGACAGACGGCAGCAGGCAGACGCTGAATGGGTGCAGAGATGGAGGGAGAGCCTGATGGTCCCTCCTCTGTAATAAGACTGCTGGTAAGATTACATGCCAAGTACAGTCAACACACTCAAGTGGCCTGGAATATGGCCTGAGGTCAGTCAGCAGGGACATGCCAACACTCTGCCTCTTAGGGTTTCTCCTAGGATCACAGCTCCACCTCACCTTTGACAGCAGTGCCATGTGGATCTTCATGAGGACGCCGTCCATCTCACTAAGCTTGTGCCCGATCAGGGGGCTGTTAGGCCCTGAGAGGTGACCGATGTGGTCCAGCCCCAGGTAGTGCAGGACCAGCACATCCCAGTCTTCTCTTTTCAATACTTTCTCCAAATGCCTCGTGACGTTGTTGTCAACCTTGAAGGTGCACACAAATGCTCACCTGGTGCGTCCTTGCTCATCACTGCCCAGCAATCTGGCAAGGTGGGTCAACACTCGGGACTCTTTCCAAGACAGGGCCCATGGGAGGTGAAAAGATACCAGTGAAGGTTGTCTGGACAAATGAGGCCCATTTCTGGGAATTCCCACTGAGACCAAAGGAGTGCCGGCCATCACCGAGAAACTGTGGACTGAGAGCTACTGAGGGACCATGTCAAGGTGGAATAGAAGCAGGCCAAGGCAGACAATGGACAGCTGTGGGAACTAGGGCCACAAGAAGGCTGACTTGGGGAGAAAACCAGCACTCAGTGACCAGGTCTCCATATTGACAGTCTAGACCCTCAGCCAGCCGCTCCTTCCCACAAAGAAATTCCATGACACTGGGCACCAAGACACACCTCTGAGACACTAGGGTCCTCATCCACTTCCAGTATACTCAAACGTTTCTCCGGGTACCAGGTAGGCAGGCCCTGGAGGTCTACAGGCCAGTTCTCTCCAGATTCTGCCACCTCACTGTGTCCACTTGGGAAAGTCCTGCCCATGAGCACCAGCCCTTCCAGGCCTTCCTGACCTTTTGTACTATCCATGATGCTACAGCCACTGACAGCAGTAAAGAGTGATCTGCAAAATCTTTCCATACTTATCCCCAACATGCTAGCAGCTGCACAGAGTGAGTGCTGCTTCCTACACAGTGAGGGTTGTGGGTTTCACCTAGTCTAACATGTTTTCCTTGTTGTAAAAACTCACCTCTGTGTAATCTGACACAAAAAAAGAGGTGGTTCCGTCGTATTCTACAAAATGCTTGGGGAATAATTTAACCCATGTTTCATCTCCATAAAAGATCATTCTTTTTCCAGCAGCTTTTGCCTGTTTAATCACATTGTCTTCCAGCAGCACTGGAGAATTAAGGTTCCTGATGACATCCACAAAACCAGGCAGACTCCCTGTCATCAATGCCTGTGGGAAGAAGCAGCCCAGAATTAGATCAGAAAGTACGAACATGTAGCCCAGGTCACGACACCAAGTCTGTTCATGAAGAAGCAAGTGTGCACAGAACAGAACACCCAATCTTGGGGGCTGGAGATCATGAGCAAGGCAATCAGGCACGGGAACAAGCTACACATAGATTTCAGGCAGGGGAGCAAACTCAATAGTCAAGATGAAACCGTGAAAGATCTTTCCACTGACTGATAAAAGGACAGGAAGGTGCTATAATTAGGAGAGAGCAACAGGTGTGGGTTAGCAAAAGGGAGAAAGTACAAATCAGTATCAGAGACAATGAGGATCAGGAACAGTGAAGGTATAATCAGTAACAGAGGATCTAGATCAATAACAAAGAAGATATAGCAGATAACAGAGAGAAATAATACAGAAATGACATGAGCTAGTAATAGAAAGAAGGTGTGGATCAGTAGCAGAAAGGAGATGAAGTCTGGATCAGGAACAGAGAGAAGCTGTGGACCGGGTACAGAAAGAAGGTCTGGATCAGGTAGAGAGAGAAGATGTGGATCAGAAACAGGGAGAAGTTGTGGATTAGGAACAGAGAGAATCTGTGGATCAAGAACAGAAAGAAGCGGAGGAGCAACAAAAAAAAGATGTGGATCACGAACAGTGAGAAGATGTGGATCAGGTACAGAGTATTACTGATCTGTTATAGAAGGAACGGATCAGTAACATAGAGAAAATACATGGCTCTGTAATAATGTTGTGGATCAGTAACAGAGAGAAAGTGTATACAGAAAAGGATGTAACAGAGGTGTGGACCAGAAAAGGAGAAGTTGATTTGTAACAGGCAAGGGTCACAAACAGAGAGAAGCTATGGATCCGTAAGAGTGTATGGATTGTATAAAAGCATATGGAAATCCTCAGATGAACTGAGAAGAGCGCAGTTACACTGAGGAAACTGCATGCTACGAAACAAGTAAAGGTGAAAAAACCCTAATTTGTTCTGTAAGCACTCACCCAAACCACTATTTTAAAAATGAAATAGTTCTCTTTATTGAAAACCTTTATCAACAATATTTGGATAAAAATTTCTTGGACCATGTATTTGAGTGTTGTTAGGTGTCATCCAGTTGATTATGACTCACAGTAACCCTAAGACAGCGAAAGGTCTGGACCGTGTCCTACCCTGTGCCATCTTCACCATTCCCAACACACTTGAGCCCACTGTTGCAGTCACCATGTCCATCCATCTCAATGAAGATCTTCCTCTTTTGCTGACCCTTCACCTCTGCAAGTATGATCTTCCTCTTCAAAGAACAGCTTTCCTAGCAACATGCCCAAAGTATATGAGAAGAAGTTTTGTCATTCTTGCCTCCAACGAAAATCTGGCTGCATTTTCTCCAAGCCTGTAAGCTGCTATTCTTTTGTTCTTGCTATGGGATATTCAGTACTCTTCTCTACCACCACACCTCAGAGTTATCAAGTCTGTCATCCTTATTCACTGTCCAGCTTTCCTGAATTAGGTGCACCTTTATCTTCAAATTGATATCATTACTCCCAATTTGGAGAGATTGATTCATGCTGGGGAGCAGGAGTGACATCCACTTCCTAAACTAGATGCCTCTGGAAACTCTACAAACTCTTTAAACTCTCTAAATGTACAGAAGTGATGTTAGTTATAGAACAGAGTTCAGGTCTTTTGTGCAAAGCTTATTCTGAATAGTATTCGACTTAATGACACTTAACCATTGCTAAATGAGACTAGTGCTATTATATCTGGAGGAACACTCTTCCACTTTGCACATCACTTTTTGTCAATGTGTTGTAAGAAAAAGCCTGGGTTTGCTATGATGATGAACCTTGTGCCACTGGAGTTTTCCCAATGTGGACAGTGTTTGGTGGAGCTCCCAGTTGTTAAACAGGTTTGGAAGCAGGAGTGGCATCCACTTCCTAAACCACATGCCTCTGAAAACTCTATGAACTTGGAGAAATGATAATAGTTATGGAAAGGCATTAGGTCTTTTGATCACACAGTTGCTATGAGTCGTGCTTGACTTGACGGCAATCAACAACAATTTGGAGAGGTCCCTGACTGTAGACTTGCCAATGCAAATGTCTCCTGATATCCTGACTGCCGGTACCAAGAGTGTTGACTATGGATCCAAGTAAGATAAAAATCACTCACAATTTCAGTCTTTATCTATCGTAGCACTGGTTATTGTTCTAGAGGCAAGGACAGACACTTTACCAAAAAGAATATTCAAAGCCCAACTAGTACATGAAAAGATGCCCGTTTCAGCCATCACCTGTTGCTATGGATTCTGACTCACGGTTAAGTCCACATGTCAGAGAATTGTGCATCACTGGGTGTTCATGCTCATGACCTTCCAGAAACCTCCCACCAAGCTCTTGGTCCCAGGTATCTCTGGCCTGGCTAAAATCTCTGACCGTTCAGTTAGCAGTCAAGTGCTTAACTGTTTGTGTCTCCCAGGGGCTCCATGATTATCACTGCTGTTGTCAATATAAAATGGTGGAGTACCATGTGAACCTGTCTAACTTTGGGAGGGGTAATGACCTGGATCAGGACCAAGAGGCAACATCATGACAGATGGAGAAAATACTGAATCTGCCAAGGGTTTTACTTAAGTTGGATCCACAATCAACACTCCTGGAAGCCAGTGGTCAAGGAATCAAATTACTTACTGCACTGAGCAAATCTCATATAACAGACTTCTTTAAAGAGCATAATACGAAGATGTCGTTTTATATATTAGGGTGCTCTTGAGCCAAGCCACAGCATTTTTAATTGACTCATATGCATATGAGTTACACAATGATTAAGAACAAAGAAGAACTGATGCCTTTAGATTGTGAAACTGATGAAGAATAAGACATATACCATGAACTACCAAAAGCACAAACAAATCAGTCTTGGAGTAAGTATAATAATTTTTTTTTTTTTGCTTCACATGTTTTGGATATATTATCCAATATTTGGATATACCAGATGTTTTTTTCTTTGCTTCACATGTTTTGGATATATTATCAGGAGGGGTCAGTCCCTAGAAATTATATCATGCTTGTAAATATGGAGCGTCAGAGTGATAGATCATCAACAAGATTGTCCAATAGATTTAGGGATATCAGAGACTGTGATGGTGACTAAGATTAGGCAGGGTTTTGTTCTGTATATGGGCCACAATGAGGTTTAGAAGGGGTCGTGGTACTAGGGATATTATAGCTAATGTTAGATGGATCTTGGCAGAAGCAGGGAATACCACAGGAATGTATATCTGTGTTTCACTGACTATGCAAAGGCGTTTGACTGTGTGGATCACAACAAACTGTGGCTGACTCTGAGAAGAATGGGAATCCCAGAACACTTGATCGTGCTAATGAGAAACCTATACTTGGACTAAGAGGCAGTCACCAGAACACAGCAAGGAAACACTGCATGGTTCAAAATTGGGAAGGGCGTATGCCAGGGATGTGTCCTGTCTCCATACCTTTTCAACCTGTATGCAGAACAGATTATCTGGGAGGCTGGGCTCTAAGAGGAGGAATGTAGGGTCAAGATTGGTGGAAGATCTATCAACAATCTGCGTTATGCAGATGACACAACCCTGCTTGCTGAAACTGAGGAGGACCTCATGCACTTGCTGCAGAGGGTCAAGGACTGCAGCTTCCAATACGGATTGAGGCTCAATGTCAAGAAGGCAAAGATTTTCACCACTGGGCCAATTGGCAGCATCAGGATGGATGGTGAAGAGATTGCGATTATTCACAGCTTTAGTTTGCCTGGCTCCACAGTCAACACTCTTGGTACCAGTAGCCAGGAAATTAAAAGGCGTATTGCCATGGGAAAGTCTGCTGTTAGGGACCTCTCCAGAGTACTGAAGAGCAATGGTGTCAGTCCGGAGACTAAGGTGCATCTGATACAGGCCATGGTCTTTGAAATCACTTGTTATGCATCAGAGAGTTGGACAATGACTAGGGAGGATAGAAGGAGAATTGATGCCTTTGAGCTGTGGTGCTGGAGGAGAGTATTGACGGTACCATGGACAGCTAGGAAAACAAACAGATTCATCCTGGAAAGGGTCACACCAGGAGGCTCCTTGGAGGCTAGGATTCTGAGCCTCTGTCTAACATACTTTGGACATGCTGTAAGGAGGGACCGGTCCTTGGAGAGGGACATCACGCTTGGGAGGGTGGAGGGACGGCACAGGAGGAGAAGGCCCTCTATGAGGTGGATTGATTCAGTGACTGGGGTAACTGGGATGGGTGTATCGGAGATGGTGTGATTGGTACAGGACAGAGCAGAGTTTAGGGCTGTTGTACACAGGGTTGCTATGAGTCCCAAGTGACTTGGTGGCACATAACAACAACAAACATAACCATGTAGTGTTTCCAGTAGTCAACAGCCTCTTGGTCTCGTTACTGGTTTTGCATGAGCACTTTTCAGGTGTTCTGGGATTCCCATTCTTCTCAAGGTTAGCCATAACTTGTAATCTCATAAAAAGAGCAGGAGTAGAATGAGGATGACCATCTCCGATCCCTACTAACTCCACAAGGGCAAACTGTCCCCATCAACAACCACAACACAAAATCAATTCCGACAAGGTCAGACATGTCTCCCATGTTCCTGCACTTCTTTATACTAATTCCAACTGATCTATTCAGTACAAAATCTGCTGCAATAGGTACACAGAGTTAAAGACCCACATTTACACTTATAAGGTTTATCAGAGAACTTAAGAGGTTATAATTCAAGTGGCAACTGGATAGAATTTCTCAGTTAGGACGGCTTCTAAAGCATGCTTGCACGTCCTTCAGTCTTCAATCTTGTCTCTTTAGGCCAGTGCTACAAAGCTCTATTAGTCCTGCCAATTATGTATCTATCCCTTTCTCCCCACCAGTCCCCTCCAGCAAGCTTAGGTAAAAACCCCTGGCTCTGGCCCTGTAGGGCAGCAGTCCCATTTCAGCCCTGTTTCAGGACTGGTCTATGGTTCTCC